CCACTCACCTCAGCCTCCCAAAGGCACGGGATTATAGGCTGAGCCACCGAGCCCAGCTCGCCTTCCTTTTAGAAGAGGCAAGAATTCATTTAAACGAATGAAGTCATGTCCTTTGCAGCAATGTCAATGCAGCTGGATGCTATTATTCTAAGCAAGTTAGCACAGAAGCAGAAAACGGAATCCACGCGTTTAAGTGGGCACTAGACAGTGGTGCACACGGGCATAAAGATGGAACAGCAGCTGGGCTCGGTTGCTCAGCCTGTCATCCAGAACTTGGGAGGCCGAGGAGAGTGGACTGCTTGAGCCCGCGGGTTTGAGACCAGCCCGGGTAACTTGGCGAGACCTCATCTCTACAATAAATCCCAAATTAGCAAGGCGTGGTAGCACACGCCTGCAGTTCTACTTGAAAGGCTGAGCCCAGCAGGTTGAGGCTGCAGTGGCTGTGAGCACCCATGCCACTGTACTCCAGCCCGGGCAAAGGAGTAAGACTGCAAAAAAAAAAAACAAAAGAACAACAGGGGGCAGGGGTCTGGAAGCTGCCCCCTGGGTACCAGGCTCACCATGCAGGTGGCGGCTTCCTAGAAGCCCAGAGGTGGCATCCTGCAATATGCCCACGTCACAGACCCGCCAGGAGGCCCGAATCTAAAACAAAATCTAACATAAGTAGTAAATCAGTAAAATAAGAGAGGCAAGAAGGCTTTTCTCTAAGCGATCTCAGAGGCTCTTTTCGGATCCTCCGTTCTTACCCAGTGGGACAGAGAATGTGGCCACAGAAAAGGCTAAGAAATGAGAAGTAAGTGGACGCCTTCCAATTCCGAGCTCGACGTGACCGTCTCAGGTTTGAAGGAGAGGTTGCTTCCCGACTGCCGAGAAAACTCGGTTTCCAGCGGGGATGACAGGTCTTTGTTTGTAACCTGGAGAGGGGGTCTGGGCAGACCCAGCAGGATCCTGGAAGGCGCGTCCTGAGAGGCAGCGTCTGCTGTGATGGGTCTGGGATGCCACTGGGCAGGGGTCTGCACCATCCAGGTGAGCAGGAAGCACTCGACAGGGTGTTCCCACTCCCAGACACAGCCTGCCACCTCCCCACGCCCCCGGCGGGTCGTGTCTGTGTGCCAGGCTTTCCCTGGAGCCTAGCAGTGTTGAACACCGAGGCCTCACGCCTGCAGGGTCAGCGCAGGTTACACAACTGCGCCTGGCATGAGCTGTGCTCGCTTTTGTCGCTGCAGTTGGCTGGGAAGAGGCCCAGGGGTTACTGGGGGGGAATCAGAGAAAGCACAAGATGTCCTTTAACTGCTTACTGAAGGGGGGAAACGTTCCTTTGCAAGGTGAAGAGGCCAGAGCGTGTCCAAGCCTTCCCGGTGCATTTCCCCTCCCGTGTGTGCATTTCTTTTTCTTTTCTTTTCTTTTCTTTTTTTGAGTCGGAGCCCCACTCCGTTGCCCAGGCTGGAGTGCAGGGGCTCACGGACATCGCTGCCTCGACGTGCTGGGCTCCGGCGATGCTTCCAGCTCAGCCTTCCAAGTAGCTGGAACAACAGGCACGCACCACCGTGCCTGGCTTTTTTTGATTTATTGTAGAGATGAGGTCTCTCCAAGTTGCCCAGGCGGGTCTTGAACCCACGGGCTCCAGCAATCCACTCTCTTTGGCCTCCCAAAGTGCTGGGGTTACAGGCTGAACCACCGAGTCCGGCCTCTTTTTTTTTTTTTTTTTTGAGTCAGAGACTCACTCCATCCAGGCTGGAGTGCAGTGGCACCCTCATGACCATCCCAGCGTTGACCTGCTGGGCTCCCGCGATCCTTCCAGCTCAGCCTTCCAAGTAGCCAGAACTACAGGCACGCGCTACCACGCCTGCTAATTTTTTATTTATTGGCTAATTTTTTATTTATTGTAGAGACGAGGTCTCGCCAAGCTGCCCGGGTGGGTCTCGAACCCGCGGGCTCCGGCC